ATCTTCAAAGCAATCGCATATTGTCAAAATTCGAAATTCCTTAAATTGGGCATTGCTTCAAACTGAACAAAAGTATTTGAACTTCATTCAATGAATAATTTAAATTGGAATTCTTCACTAGTTTATTGTTATTAGAAGTGAAGTAATGCGTGTTGCATGTTATGATACAATAAAGTTTAAGGCATTTTATGCAAATCATGACGGAGACTAAGCATTTTGATTGGGGTGAGACGGATGATTTTCAATTGCTATATCGGTTGAAACAGCATAATTGATGTTCGACTGGCGTTTGCTTCTATCTTTGTATTGTTTTATTCGATGCGTTAGTAGTTGTGGATTTTGAAGTAGGAGTATTTATTGCAGATGATTTTTTTCCTTAACCTGGACTATATGAACGTATTCCATGAAGCTACATCTATACAAGCTACGACTGTTGTGCTACTGATTCCACTGCTACAGTTGCTGTTGCTGTTACTGTTACTGCTGCCTTAAAAACAATCTTATAACGATATACATTCGTGTTGGTTTTATCATGCTGCTATTTTTCTCACCACACAACAATTCGTTGCGATAATAAACAGATAATTTTGTAATTGTTTAACATCAAAGATGAATTATGCATTTGACTCGTATATTGTTATAATTGATCTTGAAGTAATCTCTCGCTGCAAGACAGCTAAATCGAAAACGCTTTGAAACAAAGCAGACAGCATTTTCATATGATGTTCTCTGTGAACGAGAAATACATTGAAAGATCGAAATCAAAAGAATTTCTGTTCAATTAGAACATAATTAGACGTAGCAAAACATTCTGTCGAACTGTATTAAGCGCAACGACAATCGCGTTTGCGGAACTTCAACGAGCGAATGGAGATAAAAAGGAGAAATCGAAGAAAAAGAGAGAAAAATTCAAAAAAGAAACCAAAAATCAAAATTCTTTTTTCTTTCTCGTGTGCTCAATGACGAAATTTCATGAATTTAAGCGCTGACTGGTATCAATGACGTGTACGGTCAACGAAAAACGCCTTTTTTGAGTCAACAACGCCGTTAAACCAACTGAATCACCCTGTTTATCGCATGTTATTCTCATACCGGTTCTTGGCCTAATATCGTTAATTATTCCAGATCAAAAGCAAAAACTGGACAAATAAGAACATCATCAGAAGACTAATCGCGAACAAAAATTTTACTGCAACGATTTTGACACAAATGAGATTGTGATGAGAGTGAAGAAATAAATAGAATAATTGCGAATCTTTCACATTTGATTGTGAATTAAATAAATAGCAATTTAGATGTTAATTTTCCCGCCCACCGATTAATTCTAATTTCGATTTTATTTGAGAAGGTGAAAATAGTGAATGGAAAATCATGACTAAGATCGGCCGCTCGTTGAATATTAATTTCGATTCGGCCGAATGATGAACGAAACATGTTGCCTACGTATTGAGATTTTGTATTGAACGATGCGATACTTACGTATGTTGAGTTGGTCGGTTTACCTTTTTTGATGCCAGCTTCTCTCTCCGATGCGCAGATATGGTTCAAGGTCATTTTGAGACAGAATCGATGCACCCATTTATGGGCAATATGGTCAATGTACATTGTACATGGAATTGTATTAAAATACATTGCAGACATGGTGACATTCATACATGCGACACTTGAAGTTAAATGACCTGTTTCAATGGAAGGCGAAGGAGAAAAAATGTGCACGATTTGAAAATAACGATCGACGAAATTCATCCGTTCAGTCATTATTTATATTTTCGGTAATTCGATAGCACAGGATGTTATGTTGTCAACCGATATTATGAAAATCGTTCGATGAAATGGGCCCTCTGACCATTTCATTCGATCAGGTCAATGTACCGACGACTTTTGCCAAATTAAAGCTATAGTTAGACAAATTCAAATGAGGCAGAGGGAGATGGAGAGGGAGAGAGATGAAAAATTTGCACATTGTTTATCAGACACATTTGAATGTATCTCGCTAGCAAACAGTAAAACATGATCGTCCGTAAGTTATTATCGAACGGTGACTCAAAAACAACAAAACCATTCAATACGTTATTATCAAAGCGAGTTCACCAAATAAATATTTACTCACTGCTCAAGTCACAAATACATCGAATTGTTTTCGTTTGTGTTTCTTTTTTTGTTTCGTCTTTTGTGGAAGGAATAGTTTTTGTTTCTCTTGTCTGAAATTCCACGAATCGATCGTAAAATAATGAATTTCGATAAGAATCAAGTCATTCGCGACGCCAAAATGAAACAAATGCAAATACAAATTCCCACGCAATTTGCGTAAAAAATTCAAATGTGAATTGGATTGGATTTGTGTTAAAAGCGAAAATTATGTATGGTGATGTGATTGGCCACTTAAAGAAAAAAAATTGGTGACGTCTTTGATTTGCAAATTACAAATTAATTGAATATCGAGCACCATTTTTGGACGTCAATTATCCAATCACTTTTCAACTGAAGTCAATTCTCTTTTGTTTGCAAAGATGACGTTGTCTTCAGGCTTATTTGACCACGCGGATGTTCAACGCATTTGGTATTAACATTTATTGGAATTCAAATATGATAGCATATCCATTGGAATTAGCAAGAAATTATTGTCAACTTTCTACCTCACAAAATGTGCACACTGTCGATTTCATAATTGATTCTTTGGATATTCAATTAATGCATTTTTTTCTTTAAATTGCCCCACGATATATCGTCATAAGCGTTCACTCAACAAATGATTGCCTTGATCTTACGACTACGACTCACTGTTCAATTGTAGATCGAAGATCTGGCGTTGATATTGCGACAAAAGAATCAAGACCGAAACAAAAAGCTCGTAATGCCAATGTCTATGGGTATGAAATATTAAAATCGTTGTGCCATTTCGTTTGTTTTCTATGCGGTGTGCTTTTCATTTTAGAATTGCTGCCCGTTTGCCATCCAACCACCGGAAACATTAAATACTCTATTTTGAAAACGATCAGCAGCGGCAAACAATAGAAGTATCACCCACCCATACAGTTGGAGCGCCCGTTCAAACGGTAAGACACGTGCGAATATATCAGCCAACCAGCTCAAGTCGATGTGGATCGTTAATTAAATTCAGCATCGCGAATACATAAGCAGCTGTTGCCCATTGTGCGCACACACTGAATATGGCCATAAGAGAGAGTGAGAGTGAGAGCGAGATCTCGATACGACGATGAAAAATTGCCGATTTTCTATAAAAGACTGTTAAGGCGCAAGGTTTTCGATTAGTTATCGTCTTGAGTGGCTGCAGTGCGGATCGTGTTGTTTTATTGAACCAAGTGTGCGTGTGAAACGATTCTAGGAATACCTTTGCAACGTTAATATTACCTTTTTTTTGTATTTTCTAGTTCAAAAGTTCTAATTATTTGCAAAATGGTGAGTTTCACAACCAATGAAAAAAAAATAACCGTGCTATTTTCCGATGATCATGAAAACAGTACACAATTAAAACCGAATAAATAACTCAAATTCACACTTTTCGAATGAGTTGCATAATACGTCTCACCAACATGAATGAAGTTCCATTCTGGTCTAAGGGAAAACAAATGTATCTAGTTGATTTGGTTTTGTTGAAAAAATACAAACAGTGTTCATTTAGTCAGCAAATATTTGATCAGCTGAAATTATTGTAAATAAATTAATGAGACCCAGAGCATACATGAATATAGCCGAAAAAAATTATGAGAGCCCATTGATGACAGCAAATCAAAATATACGTGAATCTGAAGTGCAAGATTCAAGGTGATGTTTCGTTGATATATCATTATACAAATTTGGTGATTCCTAATAATGGTCCTCGACCCAAGCAATTCTGAAATTTTTTTTTCTCTCTTCTATCGTCGCTCAAATGAACATCGAAATGTTGAACGAGTGAAGAGCAATTGAAAAACAAACAAACCGGTCTCTCTAAATAAGCTCATCAATGAGAGGTTCTCTGTTTTGTGTGAGACCGAACATAAAACACGATGATGACTTGAAATCACTAAGCTGTTTCTAGTTTTGCATAATAATAATGGAAATTTCAAGCCATTACATAAGCTTGTGTTTTGCCAAAAAATTAGCTAAGATGGAAACAGGGTGCGGATTAAATGACATCGAATCAATAAATAACAAGTTTGACGTGGTGCCGTGTTATGTTCAGTTTTTTTTATGAGCAAAATTTCTAGTGAAAATCATTTGAATCGGGTTCGTCGTTTAGCATTCAAATGACTTTCGGCGAATGGATTTCAATAGAATATGCTCGCTTCACATTACGAATAGAATAATCGCATCAAGTTGAGCATTTTTTATTGATTAGCCGCTTGTGATATTTAAAGCTCCTTAAAACCAATAAATCTGTCAAAATTAAGAGTTTCGCCCATTTTTCGGAGAAAAATCTTTTTTTTATACAAAACTTTAGGATTTTGATTAAGTGTTTTCTTTTTTCTTCTGTTTTTTTTTTTTATTTGCAGCAAACAACTTCGATGTTGTTGGTAGCGGTGTGCTTGTTCGCATCGATCTATTCAGCATTAGGTATGCGAGGCGTTATTCATCGAGATGGTCAAGTGTGTGACGCATGTGCCGATGGATATGTTACGTATAAAGATACCTACACTCCGGATGAGGTGGGAAAACGAGTGGTTTATGGAACTGAACAACGTGTCATTTCGCGACCATCAAGCTCATACGTAGTTAATAGAGGCGACTATTCAAATCGTAATTTATTCGCATTTTATTCTTTTCTCTCAAACATTAATTTATCATTTTTCATTTATTTCAAGTTGGTTCTTTAAAATTTGAATGACATATTAAACAACATGAAATAATTTCAATAGAATAGAAAAAAAACAACGAAAAATGTATAGATTGACTAACCAGATCGGGCCAAACACTGTGTAGAAATCGAAAGGCTAAAACGGTAGTAAAGTAGCTACACTGTTTGCACAGAAGTCATATTAGCACCCACACACAAAAATCCTTAAAAAGGTTACCAAATAGATTTAACAATGAACAAAAAGGGGGTAAACAGAAACACTGATATCACCTTAAGCTGTGGAATAACAATAGATTATTATACACAACTCACATACACAACACACACACAAGCACACAAATACACAAATCACGGGCACAAATACTCAAACAACCACGAAAATCAATACAGCACAAAACAAAACAAAATGCACACATACACACACACACAAACATATCATTACTGTAGAAATTAGAATGGAACATAATCATTTTTAATGAAGGCACCAACGAAAAAAAAAATGATGCTTGGCTTACAGCATAAACCACTCGTATTCTAAATTGCAATAATGCACAGCGCGCAATCAAAGCGTAATAAATTATTGCCTAATCTCACGCTTCGCTTCGGAAATAAAACGAACAACCAAAAACAATACACGTCTCGAAGCGACGTTAAATGTTCAAGTGCACAATTACAAACGCTTAAAAATATGTGTAAGCGCCTATCACTGTGGCCAAATCGATTGTAACTAAACAAAACATTGACCTTTATTTTCTCTTTGAAAAGAATTTGTACAAAGCTAATCAATCCTATTGAATGAATAAATAAAGGTCAAGGTTGTATTGGCAATCCTTGCGGTGTAAACGCAAATTGTCACGAAGCATTGGGTCGTCCAGTGTGCTCCTGCCCAATTGGATACAGCGGCAACCCATTATCGTATTGTCGACGAAGCGAATGTCTTGATCACACAGAATGCGCCGGTCATCTGTCGTGTCGCAATGGCAATTGTGTGGACCCATGTGCGGGAACATGCGGTGTTAATGCTGATTGTACTGTCAGAAATCACGTCCCGGTCTGCTCGTGTCCATCCAGGTTTCGAGGAGATCCATTCACCTATTGTACTCGTGCCGATCCAGGTTTGTATAACCAATGGCGATGAAGACTGAAATCAAAACAAAAATTCCGATCACGGAAAACAAAATCAAAAATTGTATACAGAAAAGAGTTGTGTATTTTCTGTTGTGTATGTGATGTTAAACCTGTGTGTATGAACTTGAAAACATCCCACAATTTCACCTTGAAACGTTGTTATTGAAATTTCTTTTCGCCAGCCAGCGACGTAATATTCTCTCAACAGCTTCACATGATTAATTACTAGCAATTTGGAATTGTTTTCGCTCTACAATAAAAACCACTTAAAAAAATCTCGTCTCCTTTGTCTGTTGGCTAGGCTACAAATTTTATTGTGGGAATTTTTTTTTCCGCTTCTGTTTCTTTCAAACGGCCGCCGCACAACAAACAAACAAAACAATGCTGCAATATAATTCAAAACGTTTTAGAATCGATTCTGTAGGCGTTTTTGGTTCAATTTGAATACAATTACAACCCATTACATTCAAACCGCTTAATGAGAAAATTAAAACGGTAGAATCTTAAGATTGATCGACGAACAAACCACATTGCCATATATGGTGTATCAATGATCTAATTTTGATGGAAATATCAAAATACGCAAATTCCGATTGACATTGATACGAGTTCTGAAATTCAAATTATTTATGCCTACACCAACTTGTTCATTGATACATATATATTATAATTGACGCGACAAATATTTATTCCAGATTTATTAAGTTTTGCGAGATTATTAGAGTTTTAATTGATTTTTGCTCATTTTGTTGTTGAACGTGTGAGCATTTTGTTTCATTTTTCCTTCATTCATTTCACAGAGGAGGGTTGTCACACTGGTGGACAGTGGGGCCCTTGCGGTGCTAACACAAAATGCGAAGTTGTCAATGGCGTTCCAACTTGCAGTTGCTTGCGCGGATACGTCGGTAGTCCTTTGAGCGGATGCCGTCATGAGTAAGTTGGTTTAATCAATTTTGGGTTGATGATTCACTATGAGGCAATTCAAAGCGTTAATTAAATCATTTAAATCAAACGATTCTCAACGATGATTTCGTTTGTTTGAATTTATTCATTAATTCATTATAAACGTGAATAATTACTATTTTCAGGTGTGAATCTGATTATGATTGCGGAAGCCAACAATACTGTCAAGACTACAAATGCCAACAATCATGTTCACAATGCGGTGTCGGTGCTGAGTGTGTCCGAGTCTCAAATCATCGTGCCGTTTGCGAGTGTCCAAAGGTAATTGATTTTTAAAAAGTTAGAGAGGGCCAAATACACGAATGGAATGAGTGCACAGACAATGTATTTGGCTAATGTCAGCCAGCTAACTAAAAACATTCTGGCTGGGTCAGCGGCTGAATTCTATGCGTTGCGTTTTTTCATCGCTCGAAATCATATATATGGAGATTTTTGTTTTGTTCATGTACCGTTATTTGTCAATAAGTCTGCCTATATCAACGCATTACCACGGTACATAGCTATGTACCTTATGTAGACTTGTTGACAAATAACGGTACATGAACAAAACAAAAATCTCCATATATATGATTTCGAGCGATGAAAAAACTCAGTCGCTGAGCCAGCCAGAATGTTTTCAGTTAGCTAGCTGACATTAGCCAAATACATTGTCTGTGAGTGCATCATTGAATTGGGTTAATTTGTAGAACTATTTCGGAAACCCACTTGTGGAATGTCGTGCTGAATGCTACGGAGATCGTGACTGCCCATCTGGACGACCAGCATGTATCTATGGCGTGTGCAAAAACCCATGCGATGGTGCTTGTGGTA